CATGTGCCCGGGACCCTCCAGAAGAATTGTTATAGTTCAAGACCAGCCTGGGCTACAAAGTGAGCTCAAGGCTAGCCTGAACTGCATAGCAAGACTCTATCTCAAAAAAGACCAAAAAAAAAGAAATACTGAGATACTCCAGTGCTTTTGATAGGCTTTTTCCTCATTATAATTCCTTTAGAGTCGCTGTGGTGCCACCTACTGGAGACCATATGCCGTGGCCAATATGGCACTGGCCCTTAGAGGCCATGTGCTAAGCCCCATCCTTCTTCCCCTGAGTCAAATCACGACTTCCTACTCCCCTTTTTGCAATAGCCTGTTTCATTTTACCATGCTCCCACCCAATGCTGGCATGCCACATCAACTGGTCCACCCCCTAAACCCCGCCTCCAACCTGACCATATTTAACCATTGTTCTCTGGCCACGCCCCTCAGAAGATCCACCCCCGTACTCCTCCCCTCTGTGGTCTTCTCCATGCCCTGCAATAAAGACATTTTCTTGTTTTATTACTTTTTGCACCATCGGCCAACACCTTTCAGCTTTATCTTTAGCATTTAGGAGATCAACTACATTTTCTTCTGTAATAAACTTAAAAGATACTACCCATTTGATCATATTTATTGTTCAGTAACTGATAAGAATTTCAATGCTTTATAATAGTTATATTTGTTATATCTGTGATTACCTAACTTTCTCACGGAGAAAAGGAAACCCAGGCATAAAAATGCCTCCTGGGCTTTCAACACAGTTTGGCTTTTACAGATGCCTGGGGGTGTCGTCTCTGAAGTGGGCAGAGAGGCGGGGCTAAGAGCCTGGTCACGGGTTGTGATCTTTGACCCACTGCTCAATCCATCCCAAGATCTGGTTTATGTTCTCCTCTAGCTCCTCAGGCGTATTGCTGGGCAGCTGGTGCACAACGTCCTCCTTGTATGACAACATGGCCTCTTCATAGAGGACTTGAAAAATCTCGCACTCGATATTGTCTCCTAGTTTCTTCTCGTTATAACCCCTAGAAGGCAAAGAGAGGTGAAGTAAACAACAAACCCAAACTGAATGGTATTACCTACAGTTCTAGCTTTTCGAAACGTACCAGAACCTGAACCATTTATTTACTTACTTAGCAGAACTAGGGATGGAACCCAGGGCCTTTGCAATGAGTTACATCCCCAACCTGTTATTATTTTTATTTTTAGAGAGACACAGTCTCACTAACTCGCTAAATTGCCCAGCCTGGGCTCAAACTTTGGACCTCCTGCCTCAGCCTCCCAGGTTGCTGGGCTTACAGGTATGCACCATAGTGCCCAGCTCACTTTTTTTAAACACATGAAAAATCACCCATGTCAGGTGTGGTGGTGCCTGCCTCTAATCCCAGCACTTGGGAGGCTGAGGTAGGAGGACTGTTGTGAATTCAAGGCCAGCTTGGACTGCATAGTGAGACCCTGTCTCAACAGAAAAAGAAACAAAGAAAAATTACCCCAAATTATTTCTCACCATCTCTTTACCTAGATAAAACAAGGTAGCACCCATAAATATAAGAAACTTCTTTGACAAAAAGGCTAAACTAAGAATTATGAAACTAAAATTTAGGTTGGTCCAAAGTCTTGTGCAGTTGTTGACCACTCCAATACCTATTATCAAACTGGTACCTACCTACCACAAGTCAAATTCTCAGCTATCATATAAGGACTATAACAATGGTTCTAGATTCTAAAAGAATTAAGATAAAATAGGTAGGATATATAAAATGAATTATATATGATAAATTAATTTTTGTCATCTTTAGGCAAATATGTAAATTAGCTCAGTTAAAAATTCAACTCCAGGCCCCAGAGGCAGTCAAGTCTGGACTAAAATGTAAGCCAAAATAAACCTCTCTTCCTTAAAAAAAAAAAAAAATCAATTTCTTCTGGGTTTGCTGTAATGCCAGCATTCTGGGAGGCTGAGGCAGGGAGATTGTAAATTTGAGCCAAGCCTGAGTAATTTAGCAACATACTAAGAGCCTGTCTAAAAAAAAAACAAAAAACAAAAAACTCCCACAGATTGAGTAAACCTTATAACAATCAACAATTGTGGCACAGCACTTGCTTCTACAACTTGCTTGAGACCTAGGTTCAATCTTGAGCACCACAAAAAAAAAAAAGAAAAAGAAAAAAAAAAACTCTGGGTAAAGGATCTGAACAGATAATGTCTCTAAAAAAGATACACAAATGGCCAATAGGCATATGAAAATAATGCTCTACATTCTTTTATTTTAGTTTTTTTTTTTTTTTTTTTTTTTTTTTTTTTTTTAAGACAGAGACTTGCTATGTAGCCCAGGCTGGCCTTGAACTTGTGGTGATCCTTCCATCACAACCTCCCAAACACTGAGATTACAAACCTGCACCACCAGGCCTGATGGAAACATTATTAACTATCAAGGGAATACAAAGCAGAACCACGGTGAAATACTACTCCATATCCACTAGCATGACTGCATCCTAAAGACAAACAACAGATGCTGGCTGGTACGGGTGTGGAAAACCAGAGCCCTTATACATATCAGTGGTGCGGTCACTTTGCAACCTGATAGCTTTTTAAAAGGTTAAATGCCATGTTTCCATAGTACCCAGCTATTAAAGTCCTAGGTATATAGCCAAGGCAAATAGACACATATGCCCCCACGGAAGATGTGCACTGATGTTTATAGCAGCAATATTTATAATAGACATGGTGGAAACAACACAACTGTCCATGGATTAAATTAACACTTTTACTCATAAAAAGAAATGAAATAGAACCTTGAAAACACTATGGTAAGATGGGACCACATCTTGTATCATTCATTTCTATGAAATGTCTAGTACAGGCAAATCAGAGGAAAAGAAAGCAGATTATTGAGTGCCCGGGCCTAGGAGCCTGAAGAAATGCTGAGACACACTAATGGGTGTAAGGTTTCTTTCTGAGGTAACAAACATTTCCTAAAATTGTAGCAGTGATAGCACAACTTTGTAATATCCTAAAAGCAAATGAGTTTCACATTTCGAATGAGGAAAGTGTATGGTGTGAGAGATGCAGTTCAACAACATCTTTTTAAAAAGGTGATTAGCAGCCATGCGTGGTGGCACCAGCCTGTAATCCCAGCACCCAGGAGGCTGAGGCAGGAGGAAGGGAGGATCACCAAGTTCGAGCCCAGCTAGGCTACACACAGACACTCTCAAAACAAAACAAAACAAACAAACAAAAAAGTGATTAGCTCTTTCCATCCAAGATGCCGGGGAAAGAAGGCCGCAACTCTTGCTGTCTGGGAGTAGGAGGCCAAGAAGGTGGTAAATCTCCTGCCTGAGAAATGCCCAAAGACCTTGGCACTGGACAGGTCATCCAGCCCAAGAGGGACACCCCCTGTTGTGTCAGAACGCCCCACTGTGACACCAGCTACAGAGGGCAAGGGCCACCCGTCTGAGCAGCTGAAAGGGGCTCCTGTGATTGACCAGTTCTCTGGGCCCAGACTGTCCAACAGCTACCACTGCTTGCGCTCCCCCACGTGCACAGACCAGAGACAAGCAAGAGAAGACACAGCCCCAGGCTGAGAAGAAAGCTGCTAGCAAAGGGGACATGTCCACTAAGGGATCCCCAGTCTTCAGCAGGTGCAACACTGCCCCGCCCTGTGGGCAACGGGAAGGCTCGTCTAGTGTTGATCACACAGGGCACAAGTACTCTGTTGAGCCGGGCATGTTCCTGCCTGCCCTGGGTCACAGCATGGGGTCCCCTACTGCCTCACCTCCGGTAAGGCTGGTGGGGGCGTCCGGGACACAGGAAGCTATGCACACTGCGGCCTCCCCACAGGCCAGCTCGGAAGGCAGAGGCTCTGGCAAGCTGGTGGGAATCATGGCAGGTATGTTGGCATGTGCCGTCACTGGACAGGCTACATCCTGCACCCCAAACCTGCAGCTCTTAAGGCAAAGATAAACAATTTGCCACTGAGCTGGATTACATGTACTCAAGTCTTCTGTACATAGAAATAATAAACTGTCCTTAATCCAGTATAAAACAGGTGATTAACTTGGTAATTTTTTTCAGCGGATAAAAACCAAAAATACTGACTAGCTCTCTCAGTTTTTTTTTTTTTTTTGTACCAGAAATCAAACTCAGGACCTTGAGCTTGACAGACAGGCACTGTGCCGCTGAGCTGTATCACCAGCCCTCTCACAACTTGTTAAATACCGTGCTCTTAGCTATTTAAATAAAACAGTAGTTTTTTAATCACAATTTTAAATTCTCTTTATTGAAAAAGGTATATGAACCATACAGTCTGTACTATTTCTCTACTTGAAGAAAAAAAATTTCTCTTTTTTGCCTAACACTGAGCTACAACCCCTCAGCCCCAGTGCTCAAAAAACTTCAATGACTTTTCCCTACCTAAAGAAAAGAGTAAAGTTTTAGGCCTATCCTCAACCTAATTTTCCCTCCATATTTGCTACTACAGTCCTTTGTCCAAAGCTTTGACAAGTACCTCATCCAACCGTGGTCAGAGCTGACCACACTCAATGAGAACTGCACGCTCTGTACCTGACTCCATGCAAAATCCTTCACCTGCTGTTTAAGATCGCTTAGTAAAAAAAAAAAGATTGCTTAGTAGCCCTCTACAGTCCCCATAGGCCCACAGTGTGGATCAAAGCACAGCAACGAAGCACAGTGGAAAAAGCTTTTGTCTAAAATTTTGTTTTTCTGAGCTGGGCCTGGTGGTCCATGCCTATGATCCCAGCACTTGTGAGGCTGAGGCAGGAGTTCAAGGCCAGCCTGGGCAATTTATAACTTAGCACTTAAACTCTATCTCAAAATAAAAAAATAAAAGGTCCAGGGATGTAGCTCAGAGCAAAAATCCCTGAGTTCCAGTACTGCCAGCAAAACAAACAAATAAATAGTTTCTCTGTCTGGGTGTGGTGGCAAGCACCTGTAATCCCAGCACTCTGAGGCAGAGGCAGGAGGATCGCTACGAGTAGAGGCCAAGCTAGACTATATAATGAGCTTAAGGCCAGCCTAAACTACATGCTGAGACCCTGTCTCAAAAAACCAAAAAAGTTTCTCTGGTTTAATCTGGTGTTCTGGTGGAATCAACTCAAAGATATTTTAAAGATTGAAAATTTTTTATTTATTTTGTTAGTTTTTCATAAGTTTGCCCATTCCTCTTGTGAAGAAAAAATGTTTTGAAAAAGAATGGGGAATGAGCCCAAAGCCCTTGGAACAAAGCAAAACCCCAACCCCTGGTATTTATTTATTTATTTTGAGACAGGGTCTCACTAAATTGTCCAGGCAGGACTTCAACATGTGATCCTCCTGCTTCATCCTCCATAGGCTAGGATCACAGGCGTGTGCCATCATGTCCAGTTTCACGTGAGCTTACGGGTGATGTTTAAGCAAATGATGTTAGTGGCTTGGCTCTTTACCTAGGAAGAAAAGGACTTTTTTCCTTTTATCAAGGAAAAAGCACAGGTAAATGGGGTTTCTATAGAGCAGTGATGGTGAACCTTTTAGAGACGAGTGCCCAAACTGCAACCCAAATCCCACTTATTTATCACAAAGGGCCAACACTGCAATTACTAAATTTGAACACTTGGTGGTACAAGCTTGTAAACCCAGCACTTGGGAGGCTGAGGGACAAGGACCGCTGCAAGAGTTCGAGACCAGCCTGGGCTACAAAGTGAGTTCAAGGCCAGCCTGAACTGCACAGTGAGACCCTGTCTCAAAATGGAAAAAAGACCAAAAACAAAAGGCCAAAAAAAAACCCACCTAGAATACTGAGGTTTTAGTTTAGAAAAAACAACTGCTACATTAACATCTTTTGCCTTAAAATAAAAACAATAATACACATACCACAGGTTCGCCACCAGTGCTACGGAACATTATTTTTTGGACCCAGTTGTTAAATGAGATGCTCATTTACTCAGTACTTGCCTGGGTCTTTATAAATGTACATATCTGTCTACTGTCAGAGTGGTAGTGCCACATAGATTGGGTTTTTATTTTTAATTTATTTTGTTTTTTGTTTTTTGAGATAGGATATTGTTATATAGTGCAGGCTGGCCTTGAATTTTCCTTGAGCCTGCAGTCCTGCCTTCCCAGAGTGCTGGGATCACCAGCACGCTCCACCACACCCAGCCCTCACGGATTTGGTTTACAACAGTGAACCAAACAAACTACTCACAACTTCCAAAAGTGCCCCTATTCACGTAGTACTGGCCAGTTCAGGGATCTCAAAAAAAGTTTATGCTTTCTCTTACCTTGTTTCAAGTCTTTTGTACAATATACTATTATCTGTTCTCAGCACAAAAACTGCATGAAACCACCGTTCAGGAAAGAAATCACAACCATGGTAGTCAACAATAACTCCGCCTTCTGTCACCTGGTTCTCTAACTCATCAACAACCTGTAAGAGAGGTTAAAAAACAAAGATGAATGTTCCCTAAGAAAACTGAGGTCAACATCTCTGTTAAATTCAACAAATGCATATTTTATGCAAAGTCATACTTACTTTTTCTTCATCTAAAATGGGACAGTCATACTCTTCATCATAGCCATTATACAATGCCCCTAAAAGAGATTTATATTAGCTCATTGAAATAGTGCTTTCTCAGTAACTTTCACTAATTTTCTTTCTTTCTTTTCTTTTTTTTTTTTTTTTGTCTTTTTGAGACAGGATCTCACTATGCAGTTCAGGCTGGCCTTGAGCTCACTTTGTAGCCTAGGCTGGTCTCGAACTCACAGCTATCCTCCTGCCTCAGCCTCCTGAGTGCTGGGATTACAGGTGTGCACCACCACAGCCAGCCACTTTCACTAATTTTTAATTCATTTTAGACTTCAGGAAATATATCACCAATCATTCTTTGAGATTCTTTTAGTGCAAAAGGCAGCACTAATACAATAGATGTTACATGGACATCAAATATAAAAACCAATACAAAAAATAATGTCTAAGCTGGGTATAGTGGCACACGCCTGTAGTCCCAGCACTCGGGAGGCTGAGGCAGGAGGATCGTTGCAAGTTTGAGGCCAGCCTGGGCTACAAAGTGAGTTCAAGGCCAGCCTGAACTGCATAGTGAGACCCTGCCTCAAAAAGAAAATACTGTAATAATAATAACAATAATAAAGTCCGGGAAGCCAGGTGTGATGGCACACACCTGTAATCCCAGCACTCTGGAGGCTGAGACAGGAGGATTATTGCGAGTTTGAGACCAGCCTGGGCTACAAAGTGAGCTCAAGTCCAGCCTGAACTGCATAGCGAGACCCTGTCTCAAAAAGACAAGAAAAAAAAAAAAAAGTCCAGGAAAACTGGGTAATAATAGAGCTGAAACTTCTTTCTGATAGTGCAATGAAACTCAGAGTCCCAAAATTCAAAGCCCCAGTCCAAAACTGGGCGTCTGAGATACACACACACTTCTCAGATGAAGAAAGACAAACAGCAAATAAATATATGAAAAAATGTTTAACATTTCTGGTCATTCGAGAGATGCAAATGAAAACAACACTGAGATTCCATCTCACTCCAGAAAGAATGGCTACTGTCAAGAAATCATCCAAATGCTGGAGGAACTGTGGGGAAAAAGGAACCCTTCTCCACTGTTGGTGGGAGTGTAGACTGGTGCAACCACCATGGAAATCAGTGTGTAGAACCCTCTAGGACTAGAGGTCCCATTTGACCTAGCTATTCCCCTTCTTGGTATCTTCCCAAAAAAATTAAAAGCATCATACCACAGTGATATATGCACACCCATGTTTACAGCAGCACAGTTTGTAATAGCTAAATCTTGGAAGCAGCCCAAATGCCCATCAATTGAGGAATGCATAAAGAAGCAGTGGTGCTTTTATACAATGGAGTACTACTCAGCCATAAAGGATAAACTTGAGACATTTCTAGCTAAAAGGATGCACCTTGAGATCATAGTCCTAAGTGAAATAAATTGGACAAACATGTTTAAATACTCCATTGTTTCTCTGGTGTGAGAAACTGAAAGTGTAAATAAGGACCAAAATGTAGGATATTGGAAAATGGGAAGAAAATGTTCAAATGAAACTTCTTTATCATACTGGAGATTGACCTCTACCACTGAGCTGTATCCTTAGTACTTTTTAAATTTTATTTTTGAGATGCCGTCTTGTTAAATTGACCGGGCTGGCCTCAAACTCTTGATCTTCCAGCCTTAGCCTCTGAAGTATCTGAAACTTTTCAATTTTAAAGATAAAACCAACTAAAGAGAATGAATAGCCAGCCACACTGGATTGTGTGGCTTGTAAGAGACGGTAATGCTTTTTGCTGTGGTTGAGCTATAGACTGGTGGGAACAGGAAACATGTGGATAGATACAAACACCTTTACACACATTAAGAGCAGATTAAATTCCAAATTCACTAGGTCAAGGAGATGACACACTAAAGCGACCCCAGGCTCGTGATTCTGAATGTACAAACCTCCTGCGACTGAGCTCATGTTTTCATGAAGGTTAAGAGCAGTAAATATACAGATGCCACTGAACTGATTTCTAGTACTCACAAGTGTCATTGCTCTCAGGAGCTGAAGGCTTGGGCAAGCCTAGTGTTGCATACCTGTAATCCCAGGATGCCCAGAGGCTGAGGCAGAAGGATCAAAAGTTATAGCCCACCCTAGAAAATTTTGTGAGATCTTAACTCAAAGGATGAAAAGAGGGGTGGGGTTATAGCTCAGAGCAAAAGCCCTGGGTTCAAGCAGATAGTAAGATACCACCAAAAAAAGGAGATAGCATAGACTAGCAGTGCATGGTAAGTGCTCACATATGTAGGAGTAAAGTGTAAGAACCAGAATTCAAAGTTGTCTGCAACAGACACAGAGATGAGAAAAAAAAGTGAAATTTAGTTGGCTTCAATACATTTTTAAAATGTATTTAGAATAGTATCTTACTATCCACAGGGGATTGCTCTAAATTTCCCTAGTGGTCATCTCTTATATAAAATGATGTAGTATTTGCATATAATCTACTAACATCCTCTAGATTACTAAAATACCGCAAAAAACATAAATAGTTCTTATACTATATTGTTTAAGGAAAAATGTCTTTGTTCAGTACAGATAAACAAATGTTTTAAATACTTTTGAGACAGGATCTTACTATGTTGCCAGGCTGGTCTCAAACTCCTAGACTCAAGAGATCCTCCTGCCTCAGCCTCCTGAAGTAGTTGGTTCTGCAGGTGTGTGCCACTGCCCCTGCTTTTTTTTTTTTTTTTTTAATACTTTCGATTCACATTTGACTCTTTGGGTGCAGAACCCCTCGATACAGATAGCCAGCTGACTTTTTTTTTTAAACAATACCATTAAATATAAGAATATCTATAACTGATCCCATATTATGTAGTAGTAAATACTTAAGCATTTACTCAAGATTACACTGAAATCATTAAAAATATATAGTGTTTAAAGTAGGTATGTGTAGTGGGTTTTTTGTTTTGTTTTTTGGTTTTTTTTTTTTTGGAGGTACTGGCCCTCACACTGAGCTACATCCCCAGGGCATTTTTTATCCAATGTTGCAAAAAAAGAAAAAGTTTACAATAAAATGGGAGGATAAACCACTCCCTGGAAAGTTTGGACAAACAACTGCATTTTACTGGAGGAGGAAACTCCTAAGGAAAACTTGAGGCAGTAAGCCAGGGGAAGAAAGTGGCAAGGACTATTTTAACCTGAGAAAAGATGTTCAGAGTGGGAGACCCCAGGGACAATAGGCCTTTTCAAGGGAGGACAATCTTTCAGAACAATGAGAAAATAAATAGGTGCAAAGGGGTTAAGCAAGCTGAGGTCAGATCAAAAGACTTTCAAAGCTAAATGAAGGAGCTGGGACTTTAGCCTAAGGTAAGGAAGTTCCTGGAAGCATTTTAAATATAAGATGTGATGAGCTTCAAATTTTTAAAAAATCATTTTGGTTTGTGGGTGGAGGACGAGTTGGACAGAAGCAAGTCCAGAAGCTGCAGGAGACCACCTGGAGTTATTGCAGTGAGGACTCCCAGCTGCCCTGAGCAGTGGCGGGAGCAGAAGGAGCAGTTAACCCTGCCTATTGGACTCAGATGAAAATGTGACATCTAACTGGGTCTCCAAGGAGCTGGTAAGGCAGACGGAGCTGGGCATCTCCTGGCAAAGAGTATGGTATAGAGGCAGAGGCAAGAGGGGTGCAATGGTGCAGGCTGTAATCCCAGTACTCTGGGAGGCTGAGGCAGGATTGTATGTTCAAACCTATACAGTTTAGTAAGATCCTCTCTCAAAAATTTTTAAAAATGGGCTGCAGATGTAACCCAGTGTGAATGCTTTCAGTTGAATCCCCAGTACTGGAAAAAAAAAAAAAATTCCCAGTGTGTTTGAGAACAGTGTACAGGGCCGGAACATAGCTCAGAGGCATAAGCACCTGCCTGGCAAGAGCAAAGTCCTGTGTTCCATAAGGGCGAGCAGCTGAGGTAGGGCTGAATGAAGGTAAAACATAGAACGTTTATACAGGTTACAGCAGAAGAGAGTTCAAATCCTATCACTCTTCCTCCGCCCCACTTTTTTATAAGGAAGTAATTAGTATAAGGAGGGAAACTATATTGATGAGATTTTTTTTTTTTTTAAAGATAGAATCTCACTATGTAGTTCAGGCTGGCCTTGAATTCATTATATAAACCAGCTGGCCTTGAACTTGTGGCAATTCTCCTGCTTCAGCCTCCCAAGTGCTGGAATTATAGGCGGGCACCACCATGCCTGGCTGTAGTGAAGAGATCAATAGAAATTTGGGCACAGTAACAATGGCTGTGAGGATGAGAGGGGAATACTGTACAGAGGATTCAGAAAAACTATCAACATGCGGAGGCCCAGTGGATCTGTGCAGAGTGAGCATCTGTGTGTGTGAAGGAGCCAGGAGCGCGCAAGTACTCAAGGACAACTTCAAAGCGTGGGTTTCAAATGTGTGAATTTGGTCATTTGTGTGTGGGAACTAAGCAGATGGCTACAGTTTGAGGGTGTCTTAAAATTGGACCGTTATATTTGGTTTCTTTCTTTCTTTTTGCAGTACTGGGGATCAAAACCAGGATGTCATATAGGCTGGCCAAGCACCACCACTGGGCTACACTTCAAGCCCTTTTCATTGAGACAGGGTCTCACTGAGTTGCCCAGGCTGGCCTTGACCATGCACTCCTGCCTCAGCCTCCCAAGAAGCTGGGATTACAGGTGTGCACTACTGCCTCCATGAAATTGGGCTGTTCTAAAGACTAACCTGGGCAACTTAGTGAGACCCTGTGACAAAATAAGAATTCTAAAAGAGTGGAGATGTAGCACAGTGGTAGAGCACCTGACGAGCACGTGTGAAGCCCCAGGCTCAATCCTTAGCACTGCGCGCACGCACACACACACACATGCAGCTTAGTGGTAGAGCATGCACACATACCCAAGGTCCTGGCTGTTCTATACCTCTATTTGAAATGGGCCAACATCACTGCATTACTTTGCCTTGAGCAGTGTATGCCTACCTCAGAGTTAGGGACAGGCTGCACACTGATACACTGGTGGCAGAAAGTGAAGGATGCTAGTAAGGCCAAAATAATTGAATATGGGAAAGGACAGCAGATAGGAGGGCTGAGACTGGGACAGTGGGGTAAGCAAAGGATTCTTTGCCATCCCTGACACTTGAGAGGCTGATGGTTGAGTCCAGGAGTGTGTGATTAGTCTGGGCAACACTGTGAGAACTTGAAGTCTGACAAAAAAACCAGAAAGGGGTGGCGGGGTGGTGGGGTGACAGGGATAAGCAGGGAGCGGGAGGGGAGAAGAGAAAGAGGCAGCAGCGGCAGCAGCACTCCGAGTCACGGCACATTCTGAGCTCGTTTTCCTAAGCTTCATTTCCCACCTGTTTTCTCCCATCCTCATTCCATACAGGTAAGAATGATCTCTTACAAATTACACAGCTACTTAACAAGATTACCAGGATGCCAATAAACTCCTTTTTAAAAACAGGTTGCCTGCACACACCGTTAGTAGCAAGTCTGAGCCCCACCTGAACAACTTAGTGAGAGAGACAGTCTCAGCTCACTGTCAAGGCCCCTGGCTGTAGGGGTGGGGTAAGGGTGGAAGACCAGGTTGTTGGGTTTCTTTAAATCTCATTTGTTATAGGATTACAGGCTGACCTGTAAACTGTAGGATGTTTAGCAGACCCTCTGGACTCTACTAGCTAGGTGTAAGTAGCAAACCTTTGTCCCCTCCCTCCACAGCTGCAATAACCACAAAGATCACCCCAATTGAGAACAAACGCTTTATGAAGGACTGCTTCTTTCCTTATTACCACCGTAAAAGAGAAACCAAGGGGCTAAGCATGTAGCTCAGTGGTAGAGTGCATGACTGGCATGTATGAGGCTGTTTGGTTTTTAGCATCATAAAAAAATAAAATTTGAGCTGGATGTGGTGGCACACGCCTGTAATCCCAGCACACTGGAAGGCTGATGCAGAAGGATCACAAATTTAAATCCAGCCTGGGCAACTCAATGAGACCCTGTTTCAAAATTTAAAAGAAGATCTGGGGATTGTAGCTCAGTTAAAGGCCCTGGGTTCAATCCCCAGTATTGGCAAATAAATAAAACACTGATTACATAAAAACTCTGGGGCATCATGAGAAACTTTACCTCATCTAATTTAATCAGACCAGAAAGTCTTTATCTAAAAAAATCAACTTTTTCTTTAAGGCTCAAATCTCATTTCATGAACTAATCTCACCCATGAACTACAAAGAACATGGTTGGAACTATACACACCTAGGGAAAAAAAGGTGCATACAAGCAGGAGACCCAGTGAAGAGGAAAATGAGACTTACATTGCACTCTCCACTCTCGTTCCTCTAAATGATACTCAAGTTAACATTAGACAGCAAGTTCATTAAGTTTAGAGGCCTTAATCTGAGTAAAATTGGATGGAGTGAAACTGACTATACCATTTTGAAATCACGTGTCAAAAACAGTAAAGCTTAATGAGAAACAGGCTGTGCATAGTGGCACAGACCTATAATCATCGTGCTTGGGAGGCTGAGGCAGGAGGATCACTGTGACTTCAAGGGTAGCCTGGGCTACATGTAGAGTTCAAGTCTGAACTGTACAATGAGACCCTGTCTCAAAAAACCCGAAAACAACAAAAACCCCCCACAAAACAATGAGAAACAAAGCCACATTTCATATAGGGACAAATTGGAGAATGAAGGGTTGAGGGTATAGCTCAGTGGTAAAATGTGTGCTTAGCATGCACAAACCCCTGGCTTGGTTCAATCAATAGCACCAAAATAAATATATAAAAATGAAGAATGACTAGCGTTCTTAGGATGCATGTTTCAGAAACTCTACCCTAGATGCTGGAACTGGGATTAAAAATGAGTATGACATTGACTTGCAGCATCAAGTATAACAAAAGACTGGGCAGGCACGGCAGCACATACTTATAACCCTAGTCCTTAGGAAGCTGAGGCAGGAGGATCACCACGAGCTTGAGGCCAACCTAGGCTACATAATGAGTTTAAGGCCAGTCTGAACTATACAGTGAGACCTTGTCTCAAAAAAACAAAATCAAACAAAAACTGAAATAGCAAAACAGAACTGCAAAAAAGGATACTGGGGGGGGGGGGGAACCTTTCTTAATAATGGAACAGGACTGGGAGAAGCCAAGAGTATATAAATATAACCAAAGGAAAAATGTAACTAAAAAGATTTTTTAAAAATGGAACTCCAAGTTGGGCAACTCAAGAAAATAAAATCTAAGTAGATGTAAATTCACTATGAATAAAAATTCTGACCAAATGAGTGGTCTCTCCACAGAGCAGTCTTGCTTATATTTCAGCACTCTCAGAAGGATATCAGAGGAGCAACTTACAGGCCAGAGGTTATGAGCCCAACCTCTAAAGACACTGAGGTGACATTCTACTTGCAAGTAAACAGACAGCAAAAACTTGAATTGCTGCAATCCTTATTTCTCAAAATGAGGGAGAAATTACCTTTAAAAACATAACTGCCAAAGCACCAACAAGCAAATTGATGAACAAAAACTTTATTTTTTACACATAAAGGTTGATGAAAAGCCATTAGTTTCCTATTAAAGAAAACCGAACATTTCCATTAAAAAGAATGGTGTCTAAATTTACTCATTAAGTACTAGTAGCATTTTCTAAAACAGAACTTGAAAACATCCAGCATGCTTAATCTCAGTACAAAGGCTTCAAGACCAAGTACACAAGTTACATGCATCAAGGCAGACTACAAATTATCATAGTCATCATCATCATCGTCATCATCCTCTTCTTCGCGCTTTCTTTTCAGCGCATTTGACGCCTCACTGACAGTATTTTGTGATGATACCATGTTAGTAGTAATAAGAATGTTTTTGGACCCAATTAATGAGGGATTAATCAGAACATTCGGGACTGCTGAAGTTGCAGGAATGGAGGCTTTGACAGCAGGCGCCTGTGAGGCCGGCATCTGTACTGTAAACCTCTGCCCAGTAAGGGACACCGGAGCCCCTACTTTGGCTGAAACAGACATGGCCTGTGGGGTTGGTGTGCCTAGTGTGGGAGTGCTTGGTCTGCTAGCAACTGAACCAACACTCAACCGCGGAACTGTTATTCTTCCCGCAGAAGTAGACGCCTTTTTTTGTAAAGATTTGAGTCTGTAGTTTGGAGCTGTTAAGCAGTATCGATCAGGCGGTAACCTGGGACCTGAATATGGCTTGATCAACGGCAAAGGGGTCTGGTTTCTCTGTCTTGCAATATCTAATAAAAAATCTCTCGGGGGAGGAGAGGTAAAAGACTGGTCAGCTCGACACTGGATTGCCAGTCGCACATCATCTGCATCGACAGTGGCTTTCTTGGCATGGCTTGAGTAAATTTTAGCATCATCTAGAATTGTGGTTACGTATCGGAAGGCAAACTCCAGCATCTGATTTATAACTCTCGGCTCATATTCTGTAATCCCCATATCCTTCAGGATTTGTGCCATCATCTGTGCATCTTTCGGCATGCTCTTGGGAGAAGCCATCTTGCCAGACTCCATGATATCCGCTGATCAGACTTTAGATTGTTTGAAAAAAATATGTACATTAGATCAAACTGAAATAGTCACTTTAGCAGCAACTGTTAGGAACTTAAAATGTCTAAATGTTAAAATTTTTAAAACATACTTAGAATTTATAATATATCTCATCTTTTTAATTGTAATGAGGTATACTTAAAAGTTCCCTTTACTTAAATGTATTGTGTTCCTACTCTGTAATAACTCTAAAATTTAAAAAGCCAAAGACAAAAACAAGTGAGTGAAGAAAAATTAGAATAGGGCAAAAAAATGAAAATATGTATCACTTTACACATGTATGGCACCTGTACCCAGGCATGCAAGCATCAAACTAACCTAAGAAAACACCACAGGACATTATATCCTAGTGCCTGAGTACCATTTCCTACATAAGCTTAGTGCCACCCAACTCAAAATGTTCTCTTCCTTGTATTCAGATTCTATCTATCCTAAGATCGATCATTACTGTTCACAAGAACTAACAGCCATTCTGGGGGTGGGAAAGGAAACAATCAAAATGACCAGGGCACAGCATTGGACCCGTGGTATTTCGTCTTTCCACCGGTCCCCAACAGAGCAAAAATTCCTCAGGAGCAATTGTGTAACCTCTCACAACTCCTATGGTACTCCTACTCCACTTACCTTCTCGAGCTACATCACCCACATTAATGTACTTCAGTCCTGATCTGGATGCGAGTTCTTTGCCTAGTGTGGTCTTTCCAACTCCTGGTGTGCCTGTAAGACAAGCCACAGAGGAACAGTTTGTGAAATATGACTTACTGGATGTCAGCCACCTATGCTCTTAAGGTTCTTAGCAACTTACATGAAAATTTTCCTACCTAGCAAACATATACGAATATATACTATGACTTAAATCAAGTTTCCTAGAGATGACTGGAGGTCAGACTTACTGAGTGTATCTGATTTTCCAAGGGATGAGGCTCAGGCAATTTTGTCATCAATTCTGCTTGCCGTCAACATGGAACTGCCCGGGATTAATTTAAAATTACCCATCTCAAATCAATTAGCATTTATTTGCTTTAATTAAAAAAGATTACAGAAATAAGTAAGGCACGGTGAACAAGCCTGTAGCCTGTAGTCCCAACACTCAGGAGGCTGAGTGGGAGGATTGCCACAAGTTCCAGGCCAGCTTGGGCTATATAGTGAGGTCACAGCCAGCCTTAACTACACAGCAAGATCCTGTCTCAGAAAGAAGAAAAACTATTCTCTTCCTTATTAGGAAGCACTGTAAACCAGCTTTCCACATATTTTTCCAAGTAAGTCTTTTTTTTTTTTTTTTTGTCTTTTTTGAGGCAGGGTCTTGCTATGCAGTTGAGGCTGGCCTGGAGCTCACTTTGTAGCCCAGGCTGGTCTCGAACTCGCAATGATCATCCTGCCTCAGCCTCCCGAGTGCTGGGATTACAGGCGTGTGCCACCACGCCCGGCTCCAAGTAAGTCTTATATGTGTTTGTGTACATATATGACACTGTCCCTACCATTACATATAACGTATACTCTTTTTTTACATAATGGCAATACACTGTTCTTTAGTCTCTCCCTTTTATATCTAATAGTCTAGCAAGCACAAATTCGATTCCTGACACACACACAAAAAAACTGTCAATACTATTCCAAAATATACAATCAAATACATAATTTTCAGTTCATTTTTACTGTCACTGAAACGATTTACCATTATTGTTTGGGGTGTTTTGGTTTTTTGTTTTTTTTTTTGAAACAAGGTTTTGCTGTGTAGTATGGGCCAGCCTTGAACTTGCTAAGTCTGAACTTGGCACGTTTTCCACAAAATGCTGAATTTTCTACAATATGGTTTAATAATAAAAAAACAGGACATCATGTCTAATCATGCGTATCAGTTGATGAAAATGTTCCCTGCACAGAACTTTAAAAGACTATTTATTTGTTGAGTGGTTAAGGCGCAGCACTCAGAGACAGGACTCATATCTCGCTAATTTTATGTTCGTTAAATGATTTAAAAAAAGTTTCGTTTCCACGAAGAAACTTAACTTCTGTTATGACGGCACCTACACCTATTAGATTTTTGCAACAGTGGCGTATGATGCTATTAACTGCTGTAAGTTCGTATTTTCAGAGCTAAATGACCAGCAGTAATTAGGTCGTTACGCAGTACAGTATTATCGTTTCCTTTACTGACAACATACAACTTGAGAATAGCGCCAAAAAAATGAAAGCCCCAAATTAGCACGAAGTCTTCCCGGCACTCCTACATGAGACGTCCAGAAATGCTCAGTAGACGCCTTCACATAAAAAAAAAAAACCCTCTGATACTCAACAAAGGCATACACTTGTGGTAGACTCGTCACGCCACAAACCCCCGAAATCTGATCTGGGATCTGTTTCCAGATGCGAAGGAGAACAGCGAAGAACAGACGGCCCAAGGCGGGAGGCAGCCACCGGCAACAGCTCTAAGGGCCGGACGGCGTCTCACGCCGCCTCGACAGAAGCCCCCAACCCAGCCCCGCCGGCACCAACCGCCTACTTCACACGCAAACAACCCGATTCGGAGAGACTCAGTCGCGGGCCCGAGCAGCGCG